ACAGTATAACAAAACTAGTTCTAGCAATCTGACAAATTACATCTTTGATTTAACACATACAAATAATTTTGGTATTGCGAGCATCTCGTGGGGGTATTGATCGAAGATCAGAGTTGTATTATGTGCAGAAATAATGATATAATTAATTGAAAGTTAGAATGTATTTATAAATAATAAAAAAAATAAAAAAAGTAACTTGTACCTTGCAGAAATACACGTTATTCATCGCTATATTATAAATACTATAGAACCTAAAGATATATTTGCTAAAGCTCATATAAATACTTGCGCTGTTGAGTTAGAACACAGTATTGAACCCTATGCTAAAGCTCATATTGATAATAACGTTGTAGGATCAGGACACACCTTTGAAAATTGTATAGATAATAGCGTTGTGGAGCCAGGACATACCTTCGCAACTTTCGCTAAAGCACGTGCAACAATAGAAAAATATGCTGCGCAAACAAAGACTGTTATAATTTTGGGTAAAACAACAAGAAATACAGATAATAGTGGTTATCAGCAAGCTCTTTTTGTATGTGAAAGGCAAGGAAAATACAACGGAACAAATGATGTATATAGGTCAAAGCGAACTGGGTTCCTTTTGCAATCAGTATAAATTATTGTAAATGGTCCCAACAATTTATCATAACTAAGTCTTCCTTGGTGCATAATCATAAGCTTTGTTCAGATGCCGTAAAATTTAGCACTGTTGTGCGCAAACTTGATAAGGATGATCTTGGCTTAATAGAAAGCCTTCATGATAACGGACTTAGGACAAAAGATATTTTTTCTGTACTAGCTTCAGTTAGCTCCAAATATATTCACAAACCTGATATCTATAATACTGTGAGCCATCAGCGTCAGGCAAGCTTCAGGTTTAAATGAGATTGAGATGCTCTTTAAGACTCTATGTTGTGACGAAAATATCATAGGATATGCTGTATTAAAAGACGTATATGGTACTGAATGGGATCAAGATGGTGAATTTGTTCAGGGAGTTTTTTGGGCGTATTGTAGTGCATTCTCTGAGTTCGTAATAGCAAGAGATGTTTTAATTGTGGATGCAACATACAAAACCAACAGATTTTCTATGCCATTAATAGTCATTTGTAGTATTGATCATTTTGGATCTACTTATCCATTGGCATTCGCACTTGTTTACTCTGAAACAAAGGATTATTATTGTTGGGTTATGCAACAGTTAAGTAAGGTGTTAATTAGGTTAACAG